GAATAACCATATTTTTTAGTAATTTTTACGCCTAATGGTAACACTACAACACACACATTTATTGCACATTTAGAAATTTCGTGAAGTGTTTTTGTCTTTTTTTTTTCTTAATTTTTAGAGATCCAAGACATTTACTATAATTTTGCACATCGAGTGAAACAATATACACAATAGCAATTTTAAGTGGCTTAATACATATCCAAAATATCGAATTATATCCTAAGTTAGTTGGAAAATGGACAAGAGATTTAAAACCAATGGACTGTTCTGTATTGTAGATAAAAATTTGACATATAGCCAAATAAAAATCTAAAATTCCTATTAAAAAGTTTGTCGTGTTAAAACTATAAAACAGGTTTATCTGTTTAACAGTCATAATAATCTGAAATATAGCAGTAAAAAAAATATATTAATATATATATAACAGTATGTATTATACTAGAGTTGGCTTAAAATTAGGGAATTCACCCACCACACGAGAACATTCCTTAAAAATAAAAATATAACTAGCAATTAAAATTCAACAACATCTAACGAAATAAAATCGATATTAATTGGATTTAAAATAACATAAATACACTAATAAATAATTTAATAAATAAAATAAAAGTATGGATACTACTTAATAAGCTAACAAGGTTAACCTTAGCGCGATATTAAATATTGCGTTGTTGATTTCAAATTACCTTTCAAATGAAAAGCTTATGAATCGTTGTTGTGGACATTTCATTCTTTAGAATCCTAAACGTCGATAGGCAGTGGGTATATTCCCATGTTCATAAAAATATTAGATTACATCTTCCTTCAACAAAAACCTTATATCCCTAACAGAGCACAGACATTAACGCCAAACTGACAACCTCCGTACGATTAAAACAGCTTTTGATCGCACGATTATGTTCGTAAATGTTATTATTTCCAACCGACGTTTATTTATAATAAGGCCATAAAACAAGTTAACACATTCATATAATGTACGCCGGTTGAGTCGAAATCAAATATATCATTAACTATCTAGCTGCTGTTTATTAAGATGTAAAATAAAAAAAATATATACACAATGAAATCAAACTATTGAAATGAACCGCATTTATACGCCAGACAAATAATGATAACGAACCAAAGTTTTAAAATTTCATTTCTATAACAATGAATACTTTGGTTTCATAATAGCAACACCCCCGTTAAAAAAGAAACTGGAAAAGTAACCTAATTTTATTATGTACCTAAATCATATTATTGCTGATGATGTTTGTATATTAAAATGTACTGTGATAATTTTATTTATCTATGGAAGCTTCAATAAATAAAATGTCTCTGAAGATCAATTTCTATCACATATCATTACACATTGTAGCACCACGCGGTTAATACACCCATCTACAACATCTACTTACCTCTATTCATCGCTTGTATATGGGCATGTATAAAAATCAATACATCCGAAAAAATAATTTAAAGTTATATAAAACATTCTGTACATGATTAAAATTAAATAAACTCTCTTATTTTCATTTTTTTTTAATATTAAGCTATTGAAAAATGTGTTTGGCTCATAAAATGTTTAAAATCAATACCTATTTTAATTATATTATTATATTGACTGCGTTTTCATCTGGCCTACTTTACTTCTACCCGAAAATCAGTCTGCATTCGATCGTTGGCTGTGGAGAGACTGAAGCTGTCAGATGTTATACTGTAACTAATAATAATTAATATCACATTTATAGCAACCACCATAAGATTTTAACGTCCCTCAATAAACCTATAGGCATCACCTACACTAAAATAGTTCCAAAAAATCTTACTCATACCCACCTTATTCCTAACCGGTGATTGCTTTTTGAAACTTACTGAACATTTATGACTTATTTAATGTTATAGATTTAATAGTCTTCCCTATCGTTGTATTTCGATGTATGTAAAAGAATATCACTGTTCATATACAACGGAAGGTTAAAAAATTGTTGAAAAAAGACGAAGACCGTATAAATAACTTCATCACGTTATCTGAGTATGAAATAAATCCTTGAATATAACAAAGTATATGTTTACAATAATTGGACGGAGATAATCATGTAAAACACTTCAAAATTGTGCGCTGATAAAAGAAAAATTATAATTCCTGAACGGCTCTGGCATCGAATACAAGAATCTGATGCTTTGAGGCTCTCTCACACCTTCTTGGACAAAATAAAATATAATAATGCCCACTGACACAGCTAAAGTATTAAAAGGAATATACGTTGTAGCCTTAAAATGATATTTAGCTCGAACAAAACATATATAGTGGAAATATTTTTTGTTTTCAAAATAAAATAATCACTTAAAATCTAATTTATCACAATTGTCCTGGTTTCAGCACATATATACAAAACATTTGCTGTGCTCTCGATATAATTTAGAATTTGATTTAAATTATAAAATTACAGTAATAAGTTAAGTGAACGATATTATAAAGACCACACCAATATTAAAGACTACTAGAAATTTAAACGATCGCCCAAATTTACCATCGGATTGTATTCTGTTGCAAAAAGTTGCTTTATTCAAAATATATCTTCAAAAACTATAGTATGGGAGTAAATCTGTTCAAGAAACATAACATTGTTAGATAAGTTTGAGCGATCCAGTTACTTATGTTATAAGACACTAGTTTACACCACAACATCAAATACTACAGCTGATATAATTATAAAAACAGTCAACATCAATTTTTAAATGATTAATATACTTTTAATATAAATTTGACATGAGGACAAATATCTACAAACACACATTTATAATTTACACTAATATCAATGACAAAGAAGTATTTGAAAGGATCTTTTTTTTAAGAAATCTTCAGACTCAATTGCAGCAACGCCAATATAAGTATATTGCAAAAGTATTTAGGTAGTACAAAATAAAATTCAGTTTCAATATTGCTTCTCGTTTTATAGTAGAAGTTATCTACTACCTAAATGTTACTTATAATAATATCCCTCTGGCAAATTAAATAATACATATATTTTTAATAAATTTATCCGATTGTATATTGCATAGAAGTTAATCACAAAATAAAATTTTCATTTCAACCTGACAAGAACGAATACAGACACGAGTTTTATAAGGATTTAATAGTTGAGAATTATTGAGATAAAATGAAAAATATTCTTAAATAAAAACAATTATCCTTCTTGGTATATCCAATTTAGTAATGGCAACACTGAAGGTATGACATTGACAGCTGGGTATCAAACGTATTACAATATATAAGACGATATTTACAAAATAAAAATGAAGCCATAACTTTAAAATATACATATATAGATATGAATATAAATAAAGCATGGAAAAACACATTCATAGATATATTATTACAATTACCTTTATATGGATGAATTAATATATAAATATTTAATATAAAACTCGTGTTTCTATAACCGTTTTGTTTAAGTCACCATTTCAATTATTGGTATCTTCATTGACTATTGAGACGCGTTGTCATTGTATCCGCTTTAAAGATTAAAAAGATAATAGTACTAACTAAATAAATTAGACTATTATATACCTAACTTCGATTATAACGGTTTTGAACCAGCATTCGTTGCATTGACTATTTATATTACGAGAACAAATATTTTTTTGTATATTTCATTTCTATACTGACAATATATTGTTACGTAAAGTAACTAATGCCCGACGGAATATTGTTGTTGTAAAAAATACTCGCCCGCTGTACGGAATAATAATTAAATTACGTAATAAATATATCCTATACATATAAATATAATTGACAATATAACCACAGACATCTGTACACTACGCAATGAATACTTATAAACAACGAACAAAGCATCTCACCTCGCATTACAAGTAGATAATACACTGGCTCTTGAATTAAATTATTAATTTTTATAGCAATATTTCTTGTATACAGCTCGTATTTACCGAAAAGAAGAACTTAATGTGAAAGAGTTTATTTCATTAAACGTTTTATTATGAAAAATTACAATAAAGGCATTTTGAAACGATTTTTATCCGAATAAGATTCTTTTTAAGCCCCTGTAAGAACTCTAACTAATCTTAAAAACCCATTTTTAAGAAAAATATACTCAGATATCAAGTAATCAGCCATAATTTGGTAATACGCTATGTTCAAAATCTATTACAGTTAAAACCAGTGCGGGCAAGTATTTTTTTTAAGACTCCATTTTAACAGAAACTTAATAAATTGTATACCATTAATATGAACCTGCATATATTATATGTAAAAACGTGTACAATCTGACAATTACTTTATCTACTTCAAGGGTTACTTTATGAGGTACATATTTTGGCACAGAGAGATTTCTTAAATCTATAATGAATTAATATCTAGACATTTATAATTAATTTAAATTACATAAAACATTTCGATGTTTTAAAACTTGTTGACTGGTCTTAATCGTATTAATCACAGTTTCTTTGCATTCTCCTACTTATCTATCGTCAACACTACAATTTCCTAAATTCCTCTCAATGGAATGAGTATTCAATCTTATTGTATGTGTAAAAGGCGAAAAGATTTTAGATTGACATACACAAAAAAAAATCTAAATAAATATTTAAAAAAATAACCAAATAGTATCCTACTCAGACTTTTTATCAGACAAAATAAATATTATTTTAATTTATAACTAACGAAGAAATACAAATCATCCAAAGTTTTGATTTTTACTCGCAAAGTTAATTTGAATGTAGTGTGACGCTGTATAAGTTATTCCATTCTATTACTCGACGGCATTCGATAGTATTTTCCATTTATCATTTGTTATAGAATAAATATAGAAACTTATTTATTAAACTATAAATACATTGAAAAGAAAATATGGTAAAATTCTATTTAGACCTGCTTAAATATATTCCACAATAAAGTTGTAAAGATTCAAAACATTATTAAAAAATATTCCGATTTGCTGTTATAAAATGACTCGGCCATTAACTATAGAGGTAAGACTGAAAAGAGGACGGTTACGTCAACGTGCATTGTGAACATGGGTCGTGAGGTGTTTAGAGAGATAGTCGGCCCGGGCGAAGCATTTGCCGCACGCCTCGCAATGGTAAGGCCTCTCGCCCGTGTGGATGCGCAAGTGGCGAGTCAGGTCACTCTTACCTCCAAACGCTCTGCCACAGAACAGACACACGAACGGACGTTCGCCGGTATGCTTCCTCACGTGCAGCTTCAGGTTCTCCTTAGAACGGACGCATTTGCCGCAGAATGGGCACGCGAATTTTCTCTCTCTGTCTCTCTGGCGATCGTCGTTTTGTAAGAATCCCAATATACCGGAATGTGAACTAGAGCTTTCCAGTTTGCTGCTGTCTCCGCGAGACTCGCTCTCTGAACTATCTGCCATCGAGCTAACGCTAGCAAAAGACACAGGGACGCGTCTTCTTCCAGTTGAAGTCGAATCTTCCTTCTTAGTCTCACTTTCAGCACTTGAGTTCCTACAATCGTTGGAGTCGTCGACAGTAACAATGGAATCCGTAGCACCGTTTGAATCTACAGTGCTATCTTGTTCTGCATCTCCGATTACTTCAATGGGAGGTGTCCTAGTCACTTCGGTTCTATTCTTTTTCTTCATAGACAGATCCATTTCCCCACATTGACCGATCAACACTTCGTTTGTACTCGAAACTTGATCGATGCCTTCCGGTACGTCAGTGTTTTTAGTGTGAAGTCTCTCTAGGGTATGGTTCAGACGATGTTTTTTGAACGACTTGAGATATCTGAACTGCATTCCGCAAACGTCGCAGGTAAAGAGTTTGTCAGCTGGCAACCTGGCGCGGTGGTTTTGCTCCCTGTGTTTCACGTATGCTGATCTATAGCGATAGCTCTGTCCGCATTGTTCGCAGACGAACGGTTTATCATCAGAAGAGGATTGCGAAGCATGTTGTAGTGCAGCGTGACGTTCAAGTAACCACGTTGATGGAAAGGAAGCAAGGCAGACTCCACACCGACGACGTTCTGAATGTAGTAAATGACGTGTTTGATAAGCCATACAATCATCGCTAAGGTACCTACGGAGGCGACAGGCCTGAAGGGCGAGGAGTGGCGACCAGAGCGGCAGTGCAGTTGGACTACTGGGCGGTATTGGGCTCGCGAGACTTGGAGAACCACAGGTCATGTCGAGGCACATCTGTAATTTAAACGTTATACATTGAAAAATATATCGTATTGAAACTTGTTTAGGTTGTATTTTCCTTATCATGTACGTACATACCTGCATTCAGTTTAGGTGACCTATATATATAAAATAAAACAATATTTCTGTAATGATTGTAGAGCTTTTATTTGTCAAAATTGTATTTTTACAGCTATGATATGCTTATATTTGTTTCAAAAGTTACAATGATCAACAGCGATGGATTTATTTACTGTTGCATTTTCAATTGACAAATACGAATTCGATCCTCGACCGTATTCTAGAGCTGTACATAGAAAGGTATTGCGCGATGAACACTCAATAAGGTTGATTTGATTGTGAAAATTACATTTATTACTATTATTTTCTTAATGAATTAGTCCAAATGGTATACATTCATCGCGCTTTACCTTACCGTTTCTGACGTCACAGATGAAAACACATTAATGTAGCCATATTCAACAAAACATACTGCTCTGTTACAACTTTATGTCCTATTAATAATGTTAAGGCAAAACAGATTTCACTAATCTAAAATGTCAACAAAGAAAGTTAAATAAAACAGTTTAAGGGAAAAAATATCATTGTCGCCTCTATGAAGTAACAACGATTTTAAGCTATATTATATAAATAAGGTGGACCTACGTTATTTGAACTTGTGCTGATTACAATTAATTTTCAATTTAATATACAAGAACTGTCGAATTCTGTACGGGAACGCTCGTTCCATCTCAAACTAAAAGTCCCCAAAGAACCAACAGAGAACATGTATATTCATGAACCTAATCGTAAAACTTAGAAATCTAAATAAATTATAATTATTAAAACAAATTGTACCAATATGTAATAATCAATATACCTACAGGAACTTAGAAAAATTGCAATATAAATTATATATATACATATATATATCTGGTATGCCACTTAAAATAGTAACATAATCACAAGTGAACAGCGAGTACCACAACGACTTCGCGTCTGAAACTTAACAGTATTATCTAAGACTATACAAATAAATCTATTGTCCTATTTATTGGTCTGTAAAATAATTTTCGCACTGGTATCATATTATATAAATCACAAGATTGGAATGCGCTAACTACGGAGTTCTTTTTAAACTGGCCGCGTCCAACAAGACAGTTAGTTCCAAAGACATGCTTGCAAGTCACATATCATAACGGAATTTACAATTTTCACCATAAAATTTCAATTTTTTTTTTTTGTCATCTCTATAATTCATCCCCTACATAAACTATGTATATTCCGTGATTTGCAGCCTTTATATAAGTCTTATATAGGCAAGAGGCACTCTAAATATAAAAAACGTGGTCACAATGTAGTAAAAATGAAACTAAGTTGAATCTATTATAAATTATCAACTCGTGCTAATCTCTTACATGCTTATTTATTCAAGAGAAAATATATCTACATAAAATTCACTTATATATCGTATTTATCTATTAATGTATGTATATATATATTTTTGTGCTAACGGCGTGAAATCGCAGGGACGTGGCAACAACTGGCAAATGTTAAAATTTGAACAACTGCACTTAGGGGTCATGCAATAAACACTATTGTAGTAACAATCTCATTTAACAACCTCCAACACTGCCTATATACATAATACATAGAAATATGTATAATAATAATATCATTTAATTAATAAATAGTACCTCTCAATGTTAGGAAACAAAAATAATTATTTTTAACAGCATTCAGTTCTATTATAAAAAACTATTTCGATACAAAAATCGTACTTTGTTAATTCGCATCATTACTAATCATTTAATTATTGCTATAAATTTATTATGTAAATTGTAAATATTCAATCTTTCTTAAAATAAGAAGAGGAACATTAATCAAGGTATATTGCTAAAACGGTAACGTTCGACTCCAAAAAATAAAATGAGTGCAGCTTTTCAAATAGCAACATTATTGTTTTTTCTATCCTATTCATATCTTTTTTTTTTTACATTTTACGCATTTTCACCATTCTATCTCCGGAAAGTAGCGCATCTACCAATCTATAGTCTTAATATGCATTTACACGTGCCATCCATAAATGATAATAAAAAAAAACACAATAGATCATCTAAAATTGTACAATTCAATATATATATCGCCTGTTCAGATAGTAAATATACGAATGGTTGTTCAATTTTACAAACATATATCTTATAATCGCCAAAAATATCTGCATATGTAAATTTAAACATCCATCCTTCTATTTGGAATGTCACTGTGTTAGTATTATCAAATGACAATTAAAAATATTTTATCAAACTAATGAAAGTAAGGTCTTACGTAAAACTGCACAGTCTATGCCTAATTTACATTATCTTTTGCGGCTCATTAGCCCCCTACGAACACTACAAAGAAATGATTTTACTCCAATATACCGAAATTTTTTCAAAATTAAAAATTACACTCAAAATACTGCGGTACTCATGGCTACAACGTTCCCTAAATCTAATAATTAAATCCAATTTTATTTTAAAATTTTAATTATAAAATAAAATTATGCAAAACTTTGTCGAAACGAAAGTATTATACAGATATATAATCTGTGGTGTTCATAGTCTATGGTATGTCAAATTTATGGTATCTGATTAATATGCATCTATTTTATTGATAAAATATTATTTTAATACAACATAAAGTATTAAAAGGTTGTTAAAACTCAAGCTGGCCATTTTGATTTTTAATATAATATATTTTAAAATATTCAATCCCAATGATTAAACCTTATCTTGTGAGATCGTTAACTATCAGATGTAATACCTTACTTTTAATATATCACAGACCTTTTCCTAAATTATAATACTTTTTAAAACATTTATTCCAAATGGTAAAGAAAACTTACAAATCTATATTATAAAATGCCTAATATCGAAATAATTTCAATATAATTGTTATCCTAATATTTTACTATAGAAAATTTTGAAACAAGTATACATCTTTATACATAAAATGATATGTACGATCCATCAAATGATTATGAAATTATAAGGGACTTTCGTCTCGTGAACGTTTCGTTTCTAACGTGAGTACCGCCAGCATATGAGTGTCGCTATATAAAAGAAAACATTTAAAAGTAATCAGTCGTCCAAACCTAGCCTAACAGCGCGGCATTCCGTTGGATTTGAAATATCTTAATGGAAAAAACATCAATTTTAACGAATGAAGTTACATAATCAGACGTTCTGCCGCGCCATAGTAGCAGCCATTCAATCAATAACAAATCAAAGCTTTATTTAATATCGTTATATTGTGACATCGATGACAGTTCAGATGACATGCTCGAGACAAAATACGTCATTCATAATGACAAGTCGTCTCGGACATGTGACTATTTTAAAATAATTTTACGTTATCTACTGGAAATGAATTTCTTCATAAAATATCCCTGTATTTGACTCTGTTTAATTTCTTGTACAATTGTTGTAACATTTCAAATGCATGTGTATAAAGATATTGTATAATAAAACGGAGTACATATAGCATTTGAAACGTCATATAAAAATAAAAATTAAGACAGTTATCTGTATGAAAATATTTAATAAATATTCTACGCGTACATTGCCCTTACATCCGAAAGTAATATGAATGGTTCGGTTGAAAGAAAAATGTTTATTGTGATGTAAGAGGCGTTGTACTGTTCGAACTGAAACGGCTTAAAGCTTTGATTCCCTCGATCACACATCCAGACCCCATGACCCATAAACGAGCTACTAAAGCATTTACATTCTAATAAATTTCCTAAAATTCCGATATTAAGTATCAAACTATATTTATTTACATTTTTATATGTCGTAATATTGCTTTTGTTTGACTTGAATTGTATTTATCATTCGCGGGGAGCGTGCGTTACTCAGGAATCTCTAAATACCTCAAATATCTAATCCATACATACAAATACTGAGTGCACCGATACTCTAAACGTTAAAGCACTCGCAATCAAAAAGATTTAAACATGTTTTATAAAATAATTTTTATTTAATGAAATCACTATAATATTTTTTTTTTTTGCAAATCTCTAACGATTATGACAACACTAAATCAATATGAATTATATTAATTTTAAACTTAGATTATAATTTTTTTAAGAGTTCTTAACAAGCTTACTATATAAAATTAAAAGCAAAGCAATATGAGATCTAGAATGTCTTAATTTTGATTTCGCAGTTACTCACTATTTATCTTTGGCTGCGCCAATTAAAGGTTATTATACGAAAAAACAAACACACTTACCATCATCTAAAATAAAGCGTCTAATAAGAAGTTAATAAGAAAGTGAGGTAAATGAACTGAAGAACGCTTGAAACGATACTAAATTTTGTGAGTCAATTTATCTATATGTGAAATATCAAATATTTATTCATATCATTCAGATCACAGTTGCGGCGTTTAATCACATTCTTAACTAATATATTGTCCGTTTTGTTCAACACGCACCATTGACTATCCAATATATATATTATTGGCTAAATCATTTCACTAAACTCATTGATGTGGACTCTCTTCCTCGGTGTCGACTGGACTCGGCGAGAGGAATTTCCTCGCGTACTTGGGATAATGAGTTTTCTCGTGGGCTTTCAGTATCGTTGATCTTGAGAACGTCTTACCACATAAAACACAACGAAATGGTCTTTCGCCTGAAAAATATTGAAGAAATTATAACTACATGCAATCCATCAGGAAGAATGATGAATATATAATGATAATGAGAATAATACTAACCTGTGTGGACTCTACAATGGTCTTTCATATGATGTCGAAGTTTAAACGCCTTGCCACAAAATTCACATTTGAAAGGTCGATCGCCCGTATGAACCGGTAAGTGGGCTATTAACGATGATACATCAGGGAAACTCTTGCCGCAGAATTTGCACAACACTACATTGCCCGGCTCAACTGGGCCGATATCCAGATCTAGAGGCGATTCTTCCGTGGGCATCATGTAAGTCGGTTCACTGAATTGTCCTATCATGGGCAAACCTAACGGCCTGCCCAATATGGCGTCCCGATACTTTAGAGTGTCGAGGGTATGCGTGGTCAGTATGTGCCTCGTTAGTTTGCTCTGGTGTGGGAATGCTGCTCCACAATGTATGCAAGGATATGCCCTTTCCCCCTCCTCAATTCTCCCCCTACCGGACCCTTCGTACTCCTGCAACCACAAAAAAGAACATCAACTTCTTTTTCTCTTGTTCGATCGTCCGTGGACCGGTACGTGTGCAATCTACCACTACTGTCTAAATTGATGCAGTCTTTGTATTTAGTTTCATCTATCTAATTAAGAAGTTGACGCTCATTTTTGCCCAAAATGTGCAGGAGTGAACCCGGGAGCCGGTTACGCAATGCCTTGTTGTTTAGCAACTCACGCGCACCGAATCTATGATACGTACATACGTATGCGGTATGGCCAAAAAATTTAAATAATAAGAAAATAAAAAACTGCCCAAAATATATCAAACAAAATGGATGTATGTAAAAAAAATTATGGCCAACAAAATGAAGGTCAACTTCTTGACAGCAAGGCATAGTACTCATTGTTAAAATAGCACAGCACATCAATAAGCATGCAAATTAATATAAATAAATTTATACAACAATCCCAAAAAATAACGATCATGAAAACAATGTGTTCAGTCTCGTCAAAACTATATTTACGATTATTTGCCCAGATAATAAATATGTATGGAAGAATTTAAATCTTTATTTATTGAATACTTATGTAATGCAACAATTTCTATTGATATAAGCAAAACTATTAAATGAATTTAATCTACAGTCCAAAACAATAACTAGCTATTGATAGATAAAATATTATTCATTGTTCAGTACAAAACTACTGAATATGATGAAAAATAGAGAATTACAAGTAATCATAAAAAAACTAATTATCTTTTTTCTTCATGTTTACAAAGATAACTCGCACTTCAAATAAATGTATATTTTCATGCAATTATCCTGACATGGTAGTAATTGGGCATTAAAAAAAATATCCTATTCTTTCTAAAACAAATATTGTATAAAATGCACTGAAACCTAATTTCAATCTACATGAAATACATATATAATAAATACAATACAATTCTTATACATACAATGAATAACTATAAAAGCATGCAAATAAATATAACAGTACAAATCTGTTATGTTTCTTACAAAAATTACCACAACCATATAATATTGTTAACTTACCGATTCATGTGGCATACGGTAATCTGTCTCGCCAACTTTTTCATCATTACCTCTGTCCCAATCCGCTTCTTTCTTTAGTGACTGGAAATAGTAATATAGAACAAAATATTCAAATATGCTGCAGCTCATACAACTATTCAAACTTTAAAAAAATGCATTTAATTATATTGTTATGGATAAAAACTATTCTTATTAAATTAATTTTCATTTATTGACATTATAAATGTGTGATATAATTAATACTAGCTTTCCGCCTGCAGCTTCACCCTCATGGAGTTTGGTTATATCGCGTTTCCAAGAGAACCTTTCAAAAGTCTGAGATAAAAACTATCCTACATTCTTTCTCAAGGTCAACTCTATCTCGGTACCAAATTTCATTAAAATCAGTTCATCAGTTAGGCGTGAAAGCGTAACAGACAGACAGACAGAGTTATTTTCATATTTATAATATCAGTAGGGATGGAAACATAATATATATGAGTAACTTATGCAATATTTACCAAAGGAACTTGTTGCACTGGCGGTAAGCCAGATGGGCCAGCTATAGGTTCATTTCTTGGACTGGATAATGAGCTGTGCGATGGATGAGTCAATCCAGGATGTGGCAAGGTGTTCAAAACACTCAGCCTTTGTTCAACTGGAGAGTATCTTGGTCCTATGCCATGACTGTTTATGGTCATATTTATACCTGGAATTAAAGGAAATACCTTGTATGTAGTTCAATTTGTTTCATACAGACTACAGTAACAACAATCGAGTAAATTAGGCTTTAAATTAGGCTTAGTGTAATTTATCTCAATATATTATAATGCTATTTCATATATAACATTTCTATCAAGCTTATTTATTCCTCAATCTGTCAGATGTTGTAACTTCAAACCAAAAAAACCATATGAAAAGATTTTCAATTCATACTTTAAAAGCAATTGAAATTGTTGAAGTAAATCCTGAAATAGGACATATAATGATGTAAGATTAACAGAGATACCTACTTTAACATAACCATGGCATAGTAATTTAAAGCAAAAGGTTTCATAATGATTTTGCAAAGTAATATAAAATTTTGTTGTTTCCACAGTAGAACTCCTCGAAATGCCATAATGATAGGTATAAAGGTTTTAAAACAATTATTGAACATCTTAACACTTTTAATTATTATACTGAAATAATTCAGCTTTTAAAATTACGGCAGAGATATCGCTTAGTTCTGTTTATCGGTGAATCCTATATATTATTAATTAGTTATTTTATTTATAACGCGACGAAGACGAATATATTTAATGGGTATATGTCACAATTGATTATTCTTAAAAACTGACACTTGACTGACAACACATGTCAGTTGCAAAACCAAAAAAAAACGTACACCACATGTAAGCTTCAATAATGATTATTATTGTTACTGTTATTTTGTCCTGTCCAAAATATACATTATAATTGTATAGAAAAAAATCAAATAAAATTTAGTATTAAAAAATTAATTCAAATTGAATTTAATTTACCTTGTAATTAATCTGCAAAATATATAATATTAAGAAAGAAGTGGGTAAATTTAAATTTTAATCAATAAAAAACTGACTTCATTCAAAACTATCTAATCTGGTATTTTATTAAATCTTTAAAAGACTATTACTAATATAATTTAGGGTACTATTATAAGTTTCAATTTGGAGAGGGTATAAATACAATTATTTCATTATATTTTTATTGAAAAAATATATCACTAATGTTATTTAAGGAAGTATTAAAAAATAAATATAAAATTATATAATAATGTTAGTATTTACTTACCCATATTCTCACTTGCTCCATTTGATCTTATTGATACCGTGTCGTCTTCTGGCGACGTTGGACGTATGGGTTCGTCAGGAGGTTCGTCTTTAGGTATCGGTGGATGCGCCAAAGTTGGTGTATCAATTGAAATATCAGGCCTAAATCGTCGTACAGATAATAATGGGGATATTCTGGGAGGAGAGGCTTCTGTTGCCTCTCGGGGATCGAGAGAATCTCTGAGCTCTCTGGGATCCCTATTATCTCGTAAATCACGGGGATCTCTGCTATCTTTTACTTCGCGCAATTCTCTATGATCCCTACAAGGGTCCCGGGGGTCCCTAATTTCCCGAATCAACTCTCGAGAATCTCTGTCTCGTTCCCTTTCTCTGTGCTCTCGCAACTCTCTCGAATCGCGGATTTCTCTGTGGCTTTCTCTGTTGTCTTTGGACTCCCTTTCACGCAGCTCACGGAATTCCTTTGCCTCTCTTCGTTCTTCCTGATCGTCTAACGTCTCATGCGACTCAGCGCATTCCCTTGTATCTCTCTGTTGACATTCATCCATTGGTTCTGGAACGTTTCTTGTATCAATACCCGCTGCACTTAGCGTCGTCATTTCAGCTAATCCTTTGACCTTTAAAAAAAAAAATTGAACAATGTTTATAAATAAGAATGAAAGAAATAAACATATGATAGAATATAATCAAGCGATTTGCTTGCTAAGCGTAGTGAATAATTAAGTGATTTACCTGCAGGCTCTCAGCAGTTTTCAGGAGCGCAGGTAGTTGGCAGTATTGGACGTTGACCTCACCCTTGTACATGAAGTCGACAAGTGTTCTGAGCTCCTCCAAACCCACGTCTTTGAGGATCACTATGGGATGGCGTGAGGGATGGTCCACGAACAGCGAACGGAAGTACGATGAGCACGCTGATAAAACAACCTGGAACGATGAATATTCTCAAGTTAAAAATACCTTCTTGATAAACTAAGTGTTATATTTCTAGTAATAATAAAATAGTTATAAAACATTCTTTACTTTTACTCAAATTAAGTCAAGATTAGAAACAAAATGTGTCTTAAAATCCCTTACGTTGTTTATCAGTCACTTTTATTTTATGGTCGATATCAGTTTGGTTTTCCCCCTTACGAATATTAGTGACTCATAAGAGGGGCTGAATTAGACCAATGTCACGTTAGCAAAAAGGATGTTATATAGTGTACACAGCTTTAGAGACGTTTATAAATGATAATAATCTGCAAGACGATGAAAGGTATTTTCTGGGAAGTAGGTGGGTTGGTACTTTAAAATAAAATATTGCTATTAGGTACGAAGTAAAGTTAACGCCTACGATGCAATGAAAATAACAGGGAGGTACATTTATTATCTATAATTATTTACAATATTATGCAGCATAAAATCTAATTTTAAACAAAATACTTCCAGTCTTAACTAAAATAAGATTGCTTTTAATGTTATTTTAGATGGAAATAATTTTGAAACTATTTTAACACTTCTATGACTCAGAATTTCTTGTACTTCTTTTGCACTTTAAATCCGAATTTAAAAAATAAGGGGTCTTTGATATTGTTCCGCTAAAGGTTAAAGAGTGGTTATGTAGTCGTGGTTGTATAAATGAAAATGTTTGAGCCTAGCTGTATTCAATAGATTACAGTTTGTATTTGTGGGCTTTTATCATGCACTCACAGAACATTACGGTAGAGTTGCTATGACAGAAGTGAGAAGAGTTTTGTATGGTGATTGAAAGCTTCAAAAAACATATTTTTTTGTTCTACCGAATACTACAATCCTTATAGTTGTTTCTTTTTCGATATTTAATCTTGAATGAGACTTTCAACATTATGTTAGTAGGATGCGTAATTTATACTTTTTTTTGTTAACCAAACCGTCTGAAGTGTCTTTGAAAATAATAGAATTGTTGTGTTGGTACTACAAGTAGGGTGCGTATAGTATTTTGCAGTCCATCACCAATACGTGTATATTTATTGATTTGTGTGATAACCAAACTGTCTGAAATATCTTTGAAACTGATGCAAAAGTGGTGTTAGTACTAAAAATAGGATGTGTTTAGTATTTTTCAGTCCTATCACCAATACGTGTATATTTTATATATATAAAACTGTCCGAAGTATTAGCAACTGATAGAATAGTGTTGACTTATCACCTTATGAGCCCTTATAGAGGCGCCTTCGGAACACGCGAGCGTGACGTCCACCAAGCTCTCGTCGTGCAACAGTTGGCTGAAAACGCCGAGCAAGTTGCTCTGATGATTGTTCCACCTCAGGCAATAGTGCTCACTTCCCATGTCTGAGCTAGCTCCCGCCGCTGAAAAAATGAAAATAGATTGATGTTAACAAAAAAAAAAACATTTATAACAAAAACAACATACAGTATTGTAAATAGGAAATAATATATACTTTAAGTCATACAAATTCTGTAAAAAAAAAGGAAATAACAAACTATTAAACCCAGTCAATCAATATAAACTAATACATTCATATTATACTCTATCAAAAAGAAATATTTCATTTTCTTTCATTTTTTTTTTAATTAAAGCAGTCTCGCTTCTTACTTTTGACATTACTGTTTGAAAACACTCCACCCTACACGGTTATACAATTCATTGTTATTATATGAAGACGTAAATACGGCCAATTATCGGCAAAATTTACTAACTTTTATTTCATTATCATTTAAAGTTCTACATACGCAATATTTAGAACCAAATTTAATTTATAATCCCTCGCTATTTAAAAAAGAATTAGGAATTGATAATCAAAATTCAAGAATAATGCCATAATTCTTCTTTTAATGTCAAGCAGATACCAAAATGTTATTCTGTCTATATTCCTAAAATCTTGTTCTATTGCAAAAATAATGTATCTGACCCGGATATGTGACGCCTACAGATATGTCAAGTAAAATTAAAATTTATAAGCCATCTTTAGTTTTCTACGTCATATTGTTTCATTTTTTACTATTACCTATAATATGAGATTTATTGTTATATTGTTATGTTTTTGTATAGCCCATATAATTTAATTATTATTATGAGAATAAAACACTTCACGAATGGCACACCTATTTGAGGTGAATGATTTTAATGGTTAGATGTAAATAACTTTTGCTGTTAATGTACTTCGTACGTTATTAATATTCTTTTATAAAAATAAATAAGTTACGGAATTAGAATGCTCTGATAGCAATGTTGACATTTTATAGTAAAACAATTGCTATATTTAAAATCAAACAATAGAATTGAGATATACAATTTTTGGGAGTTAAAATGAAAGTATTCTGTGAGTTTAATATCAAAAATGTGCCTACATATAGATGTAGCGGCGTCCTGTGAAGGCTCTATTAAAACCAGTGACTCGTGAATGCTGCCTTTTTGTGAAGACTATATCACTTTTATTTTTGCTATAAATCCGATTCCAACACGTGTTCTGTTCGAAAGTTATGTTATTATTCTGGTTAAATATATATTCTTTTTGTCAAAATTAAAGAGAATAAACGCCGTAGTATAATTTGTGAAGAATTTTTTATTATATAAATAATAAAAGGGTCTTAAACTGGGCCAAGTCAGTGTATTCTTTTGCACAACGTTTTTCTCCGCAATCGCTCTTGAAGTTTCTTAGGTTGATCATAAAGTCTATAACAGGCATCAAATACTAAATATTTCATATTCTCATTCTTGCGAGGTAATTTTTTTACTTCGGAAGAAAAATTATCCCTACTAATATTATAAATGCGAAAGTAACTCGGTCTGTCTGTCTGTCTATTACGCTTTCACGCCTAAACCACAGAACTGATTTTAATGAAATTTGGTACAGAGATAGAATTGACCTTAAGAAAGAACATAGGATAGTTTTTATCCCAGACTTTGAAAGGTTCTCTTGGAAACGCGATGAAACCGAACTCTACGCGAAAGCTAGTACTTTATAAATCCTTCCATCAATTGCTCGTAGAATATTTGCTAATCCAAAAAATATACCTTCCTTTAGATGTCCCTTCATATGTAAGTTTAATATACAATGAGAGATTAAAAGCAAGAAATTGCAACGTCAAATATAATAATGATTACCTAAACAGTGTATCCAATCAAATAGAGCAGTGGCTATAAATTAAAGCGCGTGTGTTCAGTCCTTATCAGCGCAGGCCTATTTCCTGCACGAGTTACAGCTCTGATTAATAATGTGTCGGATGAGAATTTTGACCCGATTTAAAGTAAAGCCACGCGAACTGTTAATAAATATATTAATTGTATATTTGCGTAACAAATCCTCTTTAGAAGATCGAAAAAAAAGAACTCTTCAAAGTCGTTAATTCATCAATCTGTTTTGTAAGTAGAGATGTGATAAGTTTTTGATGCGAATTTCCTTGAATGGAGTTTAAATTTAATGAATATTGACAATGAAATTAATCTTTGGTATTATTTGTCAAAGTTACGATATTTCATGTTAATTATAGAAGTAATACAAAAAAAACTATGATTGTAAAAAAGTCCAAAGCCAGTATCGTCCTTATGTACTGTTTTATAACATTTTAGATGACCTTCGAGACTCGTCAACAAGTGAAAAATTTAAAATGTACATAATCGCTTTAATTTTTAACAATGTGAAACAAATGAGTCCTCTCTTGTATATTTTTGGGAAACGTTCGTTGTTTGTCGAATAAACAAAGTGTAACAAGCGATATGTAAACGTTATAAAATAAAATAGAATTCATTAATATTAATACTGACTGACAAAATGAATACATACAAAAATACACAACAGAGTATGATTGGCGACCCTGTAAAGTGCGTTTACGTACATGGACCTTAGCTATGTTCTTCGAATACCGTTTCGCACCTCCATGCGGGAAGATAAATATAGCGAATGTATTTAAATGTGTGCTCACGCGTGCGGGCGCGACGCAGTCAAGATCAAGGGCGTGCGATTGCGCAAGAGTTGGCTGTCGCAGCGCACTGCAACTGTGTGATGTCATCGCGTCTGCCGCGGCCCCCTCCCCCCGGCCCCTCCCCCGCCGCCGCCCCCCTCTAACCCCCGGAGCTCCCGGAGCCCCGCAGCCGCCGCACTCCACTCCTCTCATCACGCTCGTTTCAGAAAGGCCGCGGACGCGGAACGTTCTATTTTTAAATTTTGTGCGAACTAGGTGGCCTTACTGTTATCTATGATCTGAATATTTTTTTTAAGACCTACATTATTATTTCGTGTAGGTTTTTATTATAAAGTCCGTAATTCGTTACCGAAAATTTTTATAGCCAAAAATTCTTCTTCCAAAACTGCATAAAAATTTTGTTTACTGATAAATATTATGTTCAAACTCACGGAAGATGGCGGAACCTCTAATACTCTGTAGTTTCCTCTTAAGTGTCTATCTATCTTTAAATGACCTTGTGCCGGGAATTCACCTCACATTTTTATAATTATCTGACTAAACGATTATAGTACATTGTATTATTTATTTATATTCCTAGTTGTTAATTTTATTTAGTCATTATGTTTTTCCATATGATTTTGTTTTTACTTTACAATATTGCCATTTGTTTATTTTAGTAAAAAGATAGATATTATTTTTAATAGTACAATTGCAAAATGCACAAATATAGCTATAATATTTTTGTCTAATCCCGCATAATGTATTATAGCAGTAGGTAAGTTCTTTCAAATAAGTCTATAACCAAACGAAAATAGACAAAAAACAAATTATTTCTAAAACTTAACATCTATAGTTTAAGGAAATACTTACGACTTATGAAGATAGAAAAAACTTAAATTTCTTTATCACCACTTGCGAAAATCCTAGTTATTCAAAATTATTTTTCAAGAATTTTTTGTCTATTTTGCTTTGAATAGTTGAAGACAAAGTAATAAAAACTACGTGTGTTCTAACTTCTACACTTTCTTAAATTTCTTTTCATATTTGATAATAATAATAATGGAAAACTTTATTACTTATGTAATAAAAAATACCCATAACCAATGTATGATAAATATAGGTGTCCTCATATCAAAAATATTTCCTTATAAATGTAAAATCATAAGATTTTATTAAAATAAAACACCCACGATGGAAACTACTCGAATTCGAGACGGGGATTACCTTTGTATTACGTATGTGATCAATGGTTTTTCTAAACGCTTTTTTTTCCACTGGTTATATAAAAAATAATAAAGCACGGATAATGTATAAAAAAAATGCTAACCCAATTTAAAATAAATCCTCATTTAATTTACATAACAATACACAAAAATCGATAGAATTCATATCAAAATCAATTATAAATGAACCGCATAATTATGACATGAAATAAACAGTGCATGAAAATGCAATTTCCCAAAGAAATAGGTATACATTTTAAGTGCTTAGTTAGCTGTACGACCTTCGTCGCACAATAGAGTAGCATGCAAGCGTGTTTAAGGACGAGGACATAGTATATCATCAGTACGTATTCATACTTAGGTTGTGTACACGTTAAAAAATATATAATAAAAAAAACATATACAACCTCTTCCTAGATTCGGATGGCTGAATAATTCAAACAATACTAATGAACGTCATTATCAGTTCCAGCAATCATATTTATATGTTTATGTATGTTATTTATAAACTGTTGATTAATTTATGAGAAAATGATTATAGCACACGTTGGAAGGATATATAACTGAGATGTTGAACCACGTCTTCCTCTTATTATGTCATAAAATCACTTTAGATTTTAAATACTAGAGGAACATAAATAATTAATTTGCTATATACATAGATATCACATAACAGATATGTGAAATAAACACGTGTAAAACTGGATGTTATGCCACTGTTTTAATTACTAGAAATAGACAGCAAATATAAAATAGTAAAGAAATAAATACTGGTAATAATTTTTATATCAAGAACAATATAAGTCTAAGTATAAGAACATAAAATTTCGTATAGAACTATATTTTTAACAATTGAATACGTATCGTAGGAATAATATTATTACAAAGTGTTGTGATCCTGTCTTATTCTTATGGATTATTTCAGTCTGAATGTACATAACTCTTCTCATAATTGTAAGGACGTAGCCACATGTGAGAACGATTGAGTTCTGGAGTGTCGCGTAATTACTGATACATATGAGGTCCTCGCTAGAACAACACAATATGGTCGTGTAGTATACAACCAGAAATAAAAAACAAACTTTCATATCTCCTGGCTTTAATTAAAACATGACTTACAAACGTTACTTATTTTATAAATATATATATTTTGTTAGCAGTTTAGATAATATTTTTTCTTTATAACACAAAACATAAAATAATTCTAATCACAATTCATATGCGACTACGCCCTTATAATACACGCGCGCAGAACACTGCGTGGGGATCAAGGTCTTTATAAACGCACACATCTAGCCAATACCTATACCTATAATATATAGTTACCTATCAACGTACGTCGGCTGGACATCCGGCCGCACCTAATACCAAAATGCCCTGAAAATTTCAACCAAATGCGAGCATCCTTGACAGTTGTTTTTTGTTAGGTTGACGTTCAATGTCAATTTAAAATTTTGTCTTCATAACGAAATTTATGTCATTTTCTATCTGAGTTTATTAAAATAAAAGTAAATAATTTTATATTAAATAATACTATTCACAATTGGTCATCATATTGCCAGTGAATAATGATTAAAAATAATGTTTTATTATGTACAAATACATATAATTGTAATTCAAATATACCAATAAGTACTTTTCCGTATCAATAGCATCAATGCATAATGCATATATAAAATATCTAAATAAAATACTCTTTTACATATAAAGGCGCAACACATGTCAGAAAATACTTAATAAAGTTAAAATAAAACGTGACAATATTTTGAGCGGGAAGACGCGCCTACGGATTTTTGAACGAAACACTTTCTGTCATATAATATATGTAGTTGCAATAAATTCAAAATAACGTTCAGGAATCTTATCCGTTTTGTGACAGTATGAAATGTTGGATTTATTACAGCAAGCTGACATACTTTGACCATAAAATTGATTATCAACATCACATGATCTAAGCTAATACATGAATTACGTCCGAGAGGTAAGAACAATACGCGATGATGTCTCGTTCAATTTAGTTACAAATGATAACGCGTTATGAATCAGAATATATTAAAATGTTAATACGTATGAGATTTTTTTAATTAATAAAACTATTTGTGTATACATGGAACAAGTTGTACATTTACATATAATAATGTAAAAACATTTTTTTTATAGCTTTGACTAGACAAAACGGAAAACGACGAGGTTTTTTTATTTACAGTTACAATTAAGATGTTATAGACACTTAATTTCTATGAAGTTTTTTTTGGGGGGGGATAATGATTATATATTGATTCTAGATCAATTGAAGATAAATAGTACTATACAAAGTTCAAGAGATTTATTACTATACAAAGTATGCACAGTCCATACCAACTGTGGTTTCCACTATTGGCGAGGCTCAAAAAGGAGGAGAGCCAGATTTTTAACTTGGAAATGTCGCAAGTAACATTTTAATGCACATTTAAAACTATTCTTATATATTAATATCCAACAGGTTTCTTTAAAGTTACATAATATTTTTCCTTTAAGACAATTTATTCGCTTAATACAAAAATTGGTAATTTTATGGTACAAAGAAAAATGTAAAACCATATGTTAATTTCATTGTAAAATATAATTAAATGGTAATAAAACAAAAACTAATTAACTGAACAGGATATATGAGATATTTTCCTTACGCTAGTTTAAAGTAAGAGATGATTTGTAAATCTTCATTATTTCAAAACTCAGTTTTATTAATCAAGATTCATATTTTTTTAATTAATTCAAAACTAGATTCAGACTTGAGAATCCTCAAGAGATACTATTAATAATAATACAAAATAATATTCCAAGTGTTAACCCAAAATTAGAAAAATAAGCCTGTTTAAAAAACCTTGCATCTCTTCAAGCTTTTTAAATGAAATATTTTGATCTGATAGATATGCAGAAAAAAGCAATTTAATAACAAATCCTGTATATAGGTCGCAGAAGTGAAATGAAAGTTCTTCACTTTGGTTATCTGCCAAACCTAGATTTATGCATATACAAGCCAGGAAATGGTTGCCAAAAAGGCTACAGAAAGTCGAATTTATTCATACTTTATTCTCAATGCTTATTACTGATGTAGTTATCCAGAGAAACTAACGCTAACGGCTAAATACTTTTCTATGTATTTCTTCTATATAATATTCTATTTTTAATACTATAAAGAAAGTACAGGTAGATAAATTGTTCATAAGTAAAGGCTGATAGTTCTGTCGAATACTTTTAAAGACATTAGGCACGCACTCAGACAGACGTTTTAAATTTTAGCTCTACTTTTGCTCTTATTATAGAAATTACTGTTTAGCCTCATGGGGATTTCCAAAACTCGAGCGTTACAAAAAATGTATTGCAAAACACAGGGTCAATGACAACTATCTAGCATAGTAATCATTTATTTGGTAGTTCACTACAAACTTCCTATACGTTAATCGTGATTCAGTAATTAGGATCCATATTTTTTCCTGACGATATAATGTTGCCATTATATAAAACGAGTGATATAAATTTAAGGTATTTAAACAAAATGTTTGAGATTGAATGGTTTCCGTTGAAATGCCAGCGAATTCTATGCCTTAAATGGAAAAATATGTAATATTTATGTTAGCCATTGACCATAACAGTAGGAATACCGGTAGGTTTTTTTGATTTTTTTTTATTCTTCTCATATATCTAAAAGTTTATGATCAGTCGTTATAATTTATTTAAATGATGTATAACCGTTACCGGACATCTTAACCGCCGTTCAATAAGTTAGCGTGGAACTATTTAGTGCTTGTTTTTTGTGCAGCTGGCACTTGTAAGATAATTATAGAATAATTGGATTAATGAACTTTTCTTTATCCTTACCATAAGTTTGTATCTTTATACCGAGTACTTGGAGTTTTCAGTTTATCGTTAATTAAAAGTTTAAGATCCAAATTTTGCAAGATTCAATATTAAACAAAATTATTACCTTCATTTGTTTTTTTTTCTTTTCAACAAAAGTTTTATTATACATTATTTTTTATGAATCTTATCGTATTTCTACATACGTATTTCATATGTATTATCCGAAATT